GAGAAATAATTTCAACAATATTAATGCATCTATCAAGCTTTTTCCCTAAAATACTTATAAACAAATTATTAAAAAGTAATAGAAATGTTTGAAAACCTGCATAAAAGACAAAGTATTTTTTTATGTTAGAAGGGGATTTAGAGAAAAAAAATTGCTCCAAAACTTAACTATTTCAAAAATATTTTTGTGTATCAAATAGTTTTTTTTTTTTTCATTTTAAAAAGCTTTTGAAAATGATTTTTAAAAAAATTTACGTTCTGAAACATGAAAAAAATTTACATTGTAAATATAAAATTTATATAAAAAGTATAATAATTTCATATTGAAATGAAAAATCAGTGAATATTTACAATGATGAAAATATTTTCAGAATTTTAGAACAACAAATGAATATCACTCATTGATCACTAAAGCTCTTAACATTTTAGTCATTTTACATACTGATTCCATATTTAAAATCTTGCAATTGTGAAAAAAGGATTTCAGATATTATGTGCTGCTAAATAAATATAATTTCATTGAAGGAATTAAAAAATGGTTAGCAATAGTTTTTTGGAGAACCATACACAATGGTTGTTAAATTTCTTTCAATAACAAAAAATAAAAATGTTAAGAAAGAAGAGAGAAACAATTTCTAAAAAAATGACACCCCCACCATTGAATAACAAACGTCAATTTTGAGATTAACAACACAGAAGATATGAAGTGCTAATCATCATGTCCTTTCAGCAAGCTTTAAATAACAATTTTTAAAGAAAAGAAAAAAAATAATCAAATCAATATGAGTGCGCGTGTACAACATATCCAGTTATTCAAAATCATTGACTCTTTCTCTTTGCCTATCAGCAAATGAAAATAGTTTTTTTTTTATTATTATTATTATTTTTAGTGTAAATTTCCATTTGTGAATGACACCAACTGTAATCACTCGCGAGCTGAGTTAGTTCACATTCCGGTCCAGTCTGTTGCGTTAATTTTCTCACAAATGCCCTTGGTAAAGGAAAGACATCATCAATCCATCTCTTCTTTCCCTTGCTATGGATTTTGTTCTTTCTAAACTTAAGTAGCAAGGAAAATTCTGAATTTCAAACCATGGAGAAGGCAACGGGGAACCACTCCACTATCTTTCCCAAGAAGGCATAAAGCAAAAGAATCTGTGGAGGTTCATGATCGCCTACATCCTGAAGGGACAGGGTTAAAATAAAAAGATAATCTTTTTTTAAAACCTTGAGTATAATTTTTTGTGAAATAGTAACAAATTATTATCGTTTACACTGCCTTTTTTTCTGTCTTTTAGTTTTATAAACTTTCCTTTAAAAAAAAAAATTTCCTTTATTTTTATCATTCATTTCATCCAGTTTCCAATTATTAATTAGCTGCAATTTTTCATATACAAATTATTAAAATAATCCTGTGCCTACGATGATTCATTCATTTATTTAATTTTACTTCGAACTTTAAATTGTAAAAAGAAAAAGTGTAAAAAAAAAATAATTTAGGGCGCTTTCGTTCATTCAATCCAATTTTATTTAGTCTCCCAAATCGAAAATTGCTTCCTAAGGATTTTTTAAATGATTTGTAAATAAATAATAATAAATTTAAAAAAATAAAATAAATGAACATTGTACAATCATTTTTTTTTTTTTTATTTCTCTCAATAGCAAATGAAACAAGTACGTACGTGTATTATTAATTAGCAGTTTTATGCATATGCATTTTTAACTGTTTTATTTTTTTACATAAAAAATGCATAACACTATAAATAGTCATTAAGAACTACATATGAGAAAGGTTTTTCTTACGTTTTTTTTTTTTTTTTTGGAGCAATCATCATCATCAGTTACTCATTCATAGTGACTGTAGGTCACAGTAATGACGCATTCTCAGAGATAAATAGTCACGTCAATATAGTCAACAACGAACAGGAAGCTATATAGATTTGACAACTGACATTGGTCACTAGATTACGTACACAACAAACTTACATGTCAATTACGCCTTATTTATCACGTCAGAGGAAATAAGTGTCCGGCAGAATTTGAAGTAGCAAAACTAGAAATTGAAAAAATGCAACGTGATAATTTATTTTTATAAATTTTATTCCTTTTTAAGAAGAATTAATGTCTTCATCAGTATTTGAAATTATCGTCTCTAATTACAAAAATAAACTTTTCTTTCTTCCTCTCGATTTTTAGATTTAGCTTTTTTAAAGTTAGAAATTACTAACTGTATAACTTTAATTCACTTTAGAGATGATTATTAGTACAAAACTGTCAGTAAGTAAAAAAAAAGAAGCAAAAATGACAATTTTCAAGTTCATAAAAGAATGATAAAATAGTGAATGACATTTTTGTCAACTAATCACTTGTCTGACAGTGGTATCTAATTAAAAGAAGTAACTACTACACTCTGAAAAAAGAAAGGTCTTCTCCTATGAGAGATCTATTTCCTTTTATGCCATTTGTACACTTAATTCTGTAGCGAGGAATCCTACTACGGTAGTAGCAGGAAAATTGGGGGGGGATTGCTAACGATGTTAAATGACACAAGGTGTTAATTGTATTTCTTCCAAAACTTCAACTGCTACTACTAGACAAACTGGTTTTCTGAAGTGATACTATTTCAGAGTGCGTTGGAGGTGGACAAAGTTCTTGAAGGTGTGAGCAAAAAGGACCAATCAACAATTATTATTAAGGTCAAGGCTGAACATAGGACTCACAGACACACTAAATACCAAAATTGTATTATTATTATTAGCATTACCAACATTTTTCCACAATTGTCTAATACAGAAATGGGTATATTGAGAAACAAAAATGAATTAAATACATGTTAGAGATTATTTTAAAAAGTATATCAACAATTTTACATTGATTTCACACAAAAAAAATGTCGATGTTTTTAAGAACCAATGAAGCTGTCATTTATGCTTGAAAATGAAAAACGTTTCAAAACCTCATAACAGCTAATTGCAAAATAAATGTAAATATGAGTATCATATTTCGTGAAAATAAAAACTCTTTTAAACCAAAATCTGGAAATCGCTTTGAATGGAAAAAGAAAAAAAGTTGTTTTAGACCAGACATTGCAATGTAGACACCAGGAAATCTTTGCAATGTACACATATCTTTTTTTAACCTTACTAGTCTAACTAGAAGCTACATTTATTTCTTTATTACATCATAAGGAAATATAGATAGACACACCAATTACCAGTGCAATACTCAACCCTAATTTGCCTCAGCCTGTGTTGAGCACTTCTATTATCTACAGTTGAAAAAATAAAGTCAATCATTTAAAAACACAGTCAACTGTTTTATTTCACCTATTAGTCGATCAGACCGGTTGCGAGGTGCCGCGTGTGTGTGTGTGTGTGTGTGGTTGAAAGTGTTTATTTGCTTGTGTTTGGTAGTCTGATGACAAAACTGCAAAGATAGATTTTTTTAGTTTTTTAGACTTTGTTTTACCCAGGTTCTGAAACTGGTTTAAATAGGTTTTTTAACTTTTATCTTTGAAACAAGATAAGATTAAAATTGTCCTTTTTTGTGAAAAATAATCTAATCTCTGATCGATCATCAACACAACAGTAAAAAAAATCTTGAGAGAACGAACACACACATTTTAAAAACTAAAGAAAACAGTAAGACTTAGTAACGGATTTAGTAACTGTCACAGATGTTTCATTTTCTTTATGGCAAAAATGAAATAATCTTTCTTTGGGAACTTTAAAAAAAACTCGTTGTCAAAAATGCAATAGACTTTTTTTTCTTTTTTTTTAAATAGGGAAAATACAATTATTAACAAAAAAAAAGGAGAAAGAAATTCAGTTGAAAAAAATAACACATAAAATTAAAAATGTAAATTTAAAAACTCATAAAACTAAAGTTTTATTTTATTATGCACATTTTATCACTGGGTCTTTTTGTTGTTAAATCTCAAAAGCATAAAAATGGTGCATGATTATTAAACTTAAAGTAAACAACAACAGAAAAAGAAGGGATAGAATTCTTATTCTAGCTGTAAGTAAAACTCCTTTGATGAAAAATTTTAAGTAAAATTCCCACTTTTTGCCTGAAAAACTAGGTCGAGAAAAAAAGAAGTAATGTCATTTTAAACAACCTAGTGTAAAAGAGGATTTGTTGGGAGAAATAGCCTAAGGTTTGAAACCTTTTTTAGTTTTCTTCACTGGTATTGTCATAATTACATCAGCACTTCATCATCAGAAACACCACCCCGAGACCCACATAATCATGAGATAAAAAAAAAAAAAAAAAAAAAAAAAAGGAGAGAAAGACTAAAGAGGAGAATATATTTTCTTTTCAGGGGTAATAAAACAAGGATGGGTAAATAATGTCGTATGTGTTTAAAAAAAATAATGTAAAACTTATAAAGACCTATCCATTCGTTTGACGGCCCTTACAGACAAAAAAAAAAATAGAAGGAAGGGGATATATGATTTTGGATTCAAATTCTCATCATCTGTATCAGATCGAGTGTGATCAGCCCTTCATAGAAGCAGTCATATAACTTGTAACTGAACCCACTACAAAAACTAAAACATTACCCCAGATCTTAAATAAAAACTAAAAATAATCGACCTAAAAAATTTTTAAATGACAAAAAAAAAAAAAAAAAAAATGTAAAAACAACTAAGTTGCTGTCTGTCGTATTTTACAAATTTAAAATTAGTAATATTCGAAGAAAAAAAGGGAAATTAAAATTAAAGTTCAAAGTCTACTGATGATCCTAATTGCGAAAATGAAGATCTTTGGTGCAATCTGTTGTTGTTATTATTATTATTATTAACAGTAACTGACCAACAAAACTCCCTTCGTCAGGATTGACTCAACAATTGTTCTGTTCAAAACATTATTTATGCTTAAATCGATTAATGGCATTATTAACATGATTATCATCTCTTCGTGATAATTTTAATAAACAAGTAAATAATCAGAGTTTTTTTTTTAATTTAGATTACATCACCCATTAATTGTTTTTTTATGTACTGTACAGATCTATCTACACAAGCCATGCATGTGCGTGATTTTTTTTTTTAAAAAAAAAAAAAAAAAAGGTACTTGTCTTTTTTTTGGGTATTTTAGTTTATTTTGGATTCTCCCCTAATAAATGTCCTGATGATGACATGGTTCATTTCCCTGGACAAAGTCATCATACCATTGGAAACTCCAAATAAAGATATTTACATATTACGTGTATTAATTTTAAAAATGAATAGCATTTATATATATATATATATATATATATATATATATATAATAAATGAGAGAGTGATTACAATTGAACAATTTCAAATCTAGCAACTGATATTTTTGTCTCTTCGATTGTATTGATTGATCAACATTTCAAATCAACAGCTTTTTTTTTCTTATGCACATTTTTAAACATTACCTTTCCCATTTTATACATAGAAATAGATTACTTAATTTAAATAAATCAAGAAATCTATTTAAAGAAGTAAACAGAAAAAAATACAGTGATCAAAACAAAATGTGTACAAACGAAGTTGACCCCTGGTTTTTACTTCATTTCCAGTCATTTGAGTTAGCTTCTCCCTTTTTAAGGATCTACCTTCATTTTTTTTCCACGACTTTCCCATAATTTCTTACCTGGTTTGTCTGCCTTTCCTGACATCTTAAACCGGTATTTATTCTACGTCATGTCCTACTAAGTCCATTGATGGAGGTGGAGGCCAAAAATGTGCGTCGATAGGACCAAAGCTGGTGAACAACAGCCCCCCAACCAGCAGCAGCCATTTACTAACAACTGCAGAGGCAGCAGCGGCTCGGCACTTGCTCCTTTTCCTTCACCTTCCTCATTTTTTTAACTCCTACACCTCCTACTTTTTTACGGCAGGAACTTGCTGCAAGAAGAGAGGCAAAGTAAGAGTAAGACCAAGAATTGTAGTTGGAGTTATGATGCCGACATCGGCAAAGATCGATATTTTCCGGCTGTATAAATACTAATAGGTGTTATGCTGTCGAATTCCATCTTCGGTAAAAGTCGATATTTTCCGTTTGTCGTATTTTAATTTTACTGATTCCTACATCATAGTGTGGGTGGGTAACAAAACTGATGATAAGCGTGAAGGCAACAAATCAAAACAAAATCATTGCAAAATATTTTAAAGTTAATAATTACTTTCAATTTGTCCTAAAATTATCAAACGAAACCTATTCCCGACAAAGAACAAATGATAATTTAAAAAAAAATATTGCATCATTTTATGTTTATGTTTTGTTTATAAATTTTATTTTAATTTTACCCAGCATTCCTCAGTCCGTTGCAATCCGCTGCAGAAAAAAAGATCCAAAATGGCGCTCAAATCGGCTGTCCATGAAAGTAAGTGATCTAGTTTTACTGTTTTGTTTGTTTGCTTTATAGTTGTCACACTGTAAAACCCCCACCTTTGTAAAGGAAAAGATCAGATCTGAGAAATGAGCTCATTATAGACTGCATTTCCTGTACAATTTGCTTGCAATTTATTTTCTTTCACCTCTAGCCTGCCCATTCTACCAGTGTCAAATTCTCCGACACTTTATTGGAATAGGTTGATATAAAAATGAATGTCGGTCACACCAAATTTTCCCATTGGATATATATTTCCTTAATTACTTTGTAATATAATGATTTTTGGATTGTATCTCCAGATGACCAGCATCATTTTTTTAGTAAAAAATAACAATGCAGTTAAATTTCCTTTTACTAAAAATGACATTTATTGAGAGAAGACAATGATGATCGCTTTCACTATCATAAGAATTGATTATTATTCTTTTTTCATGTAGGTTAAGAAATGAATTATTGGGATCAGGCTTCAAAAGACACGTAGTCAAATTTCTTTGTATAATTTAAAGTTATTTTTTCCTTTAAGAAATAAAAAATATATACTAAAATCGTGCATTATTGAACCAGGCTCCGCCCACTAAGCTCTGATGATGCACAATTGACTTGACCCGTTGATGTTATATTATAATTATTATTCTTATATATTTTAAGATAAGAAGAGTTATGCTTAGAAAAATAAAAAACAAAAAAACTACCATGCTCTTTTCCTTAATAAAAAATACAGCTTTTTAAAAAATCGTTAATTATAATTGAATATAACCATTTTGGAAGAGCAGTATTTATTGCAAAAGAAGCTGAAATGAATAACGAAAATGAAAATTGAAAATGTTTCAGATCGTCAGTTTTTTTTCTTCTCTGTCTCTCTCTTATTTGTTTAAACTTTTAAATGTTTTGATTTTTCTATAATTGTCTCCTTGTGCCGAAATGAATTAATTGTGAATGCCTAGAAAAGAAGGCATCTCTTTAAAAACAAAAACCTGTTGTTTGTAGCTATTGATTCTGATTATTATGTTTTTACGAAAAATCACGTAAGACAAAAAAATATAATTAATGAATGATCTATGAATTTGTTTAACATTCTTTCAAAATGATCAACTCTAATTATTTTCTTTTTTAATGAATTTGGTTATTGTTTTTATTTAAAATCGTTTTGTATTTCATTCTTTTTTTTTTTTCAAATATTATTTTTGTTTGTTCAATATCAGTTATGATGACTGAGTCATTTAAGAATAAGCCGATCATTAGGAAAATGAAAGTAAATTATATTTGAGTTGACATTTCAATATTGATAGCGCAAAAGTTAAAACAAAACTGAAACAATTTTTTCTTTATTGACGATGCAGCCAACTTTAATGCCGTTTTTCGTTTTATTAAGCTTCTTCTTTAATGCTTTTTTAATACATCTTACCACGATTCATTGACATACATTTAGAGCTCCTTCCGAGATGGTGAGAAATCTAAGAATTGCACATTTCAATCGATTTTAACGGGTAAACGTGGAGAAAACGACTTTGAAAATCTTTCAGAGGTTATTTTCATGGAGTTACAATCACATGACGACCATTTCTGTGATTCTGGTTTTTCAAGATTTTCTTGTAATTGATTTGTTGAGTAATTGAATTCTGTCTCACGACCCCATAAAATCTCGTTTTCTATTATGTTCAAACTTTGTACGCAAAAGTTCGGTATATTATTCGCAATTCACTAAAAAAAATATATTTTGATAATAAAAAAAAAAAAAAAAAAAAACAGCATAACACTCAAACTTTGAAAATCTGATAAGCAAGCTTGTGTTTCTGATTTATTGATAATGGATCTGATGATGAATCTCTACGTTGATTATCGACCTCTCATCCTCATTTATGATGCCATCAATGAAAGAAATGGTGAAATCAGGAAAAGTCAAAAGAAAACCTATTTAAATTTTCATTTTTGTAACATTTGAAATTACATTTTATTTTTAATCTAATGAATTCTAATTTTGAAAGCATTGAAAAGTAATGAGTTAAAGAGAAATAATTTGCGAATTAAAATTGTTGATTCATAAAAGTAAAAAACTAACATCACCTTTTTAGTTCTAGAATGATTGATGAGCCAGTTTTATACAGTTTTTTTTACTGAAAAATGAAACTGATTTCTTCATAGTCTTGCTTAGTGAACTTCTGTAAAAACAAACAAAAAAAGGAGGATAATTACGCCATAATGAATTTCAATTTCATTATTTTTGATAAAAAAACCGTAAAACGAAAAGGTCTTCTTAAAAATTGTAATTCATCTCTTCTTGTGATATGAGTGTCCTCGTGATGTTATTGGAACTGTACTGTTAATAAATCCTGATTTTAAAAATGTTTTAATGGAAACAGGAAACTCCTTTTCATTCATTCTCGTTATTATGATCATATGACGACTAAAAATAAGAACTAACACTGTGATATAATACTTTCACTTTTTATTTCATATAAAATAAATTAATAATTAATATTATTTTCATTTATTCGATTTTACTGCCATAGCCTTCACCTTGTCATTAATTATTTAAGGAAAAAATCGTAATCAAAGTAGTATGGGTTTTTTTTTTTTCTTTAACAAAACTGGATTTTTTAAAACAATTTTCTGTGATTGTAACTCAGCAGAGATGGTTATGTTATCATGAAACTGATACAATAATTCTATTCTTTGTCATGACCAACATCCACTTCCAAAAAGTCAACCTACTTCTTCAAATTGTATCTAATTTTATAAAAATACAACCAATTTTAACGATCCTTATTTTTTGTTTAATATAAATTTCTCTTTCAAATATATAATTGTTTTTTTTATTCATTTTATAACTTTTAATATGGAAAAAAAGTTATAACAATTGAAGTTAATAATTCAAAATAATTTTCTCATTCAGCACACAGCTATGTTTTTTTTTTTTTTTTACAATGAAAAATGTTAATATCTGGGACTCTAATAATTAAGAATAATTAAAATACTCTCATTGAATTAGATTGATGTCCAAACTAATCATAAATGGGATATCGTCGATCTCATTAAATAACTCATCCCAATTTATTTTTTTGAGACGTGTAGTAAGGAAGAAGCATCAATTTGCCACCGGAAGTGATAAATCTCAGATTTCAAAGTCCATCATTTGAAATGTATTTTCTCTAATTGACTACAAAACTGTTACATAATTTAAAATGAATTATGACAATATCTTCAAACCATAGTTAAGTTTCCTCAAAGTGTCAGCTGTGGTTGATAATTTTCAATAGTTATGTTCACACAATTATATTGAATTAAAAAAACAAAATAAATACAGATTAACATAATGGTTATCTAGGAAAATTTTTATTCAATTCCGTGTAATGTAGTTTTCAACCATTTTAAAAAGTTAAATAAAATATTTGTTGTAATATTTAAGAAATTATGCAAAATTTCTTAAATAAGTAAATTTAAATACTTAAATAAGTATAATTCCAAGAAAACAATCATTAGTTTTAGATCTCTCTGCAAAAGCAAAAAACAACAATGCTTTTCTAGAGACATACATATATGCATACTAGTTTGAAATAGAAACTAACAGAATGCAACCAAAATGCTAATAGTGAATATTGATTCTTGTATATTCAGGTCAATAATCTGTTGACTTGAGAAACACATGCAAATGTTAAATATTTAATCATTTAAAATGCAAAAATCAAATCTTCCTACCATCAAAATGTGTTACTTTTTAACTTGTATTACTCAATGTTTCTATGGCTATAATGTTACACTTACAAATTTTTGCCAGAATATAAGTTAAATGTTATGTACAAACTATAAAGGCTGTAAGAATTTTCATAAATATTGCATTATTTTAAGGATTACTGATAGATTTGTATTGAAATAAGGCAATAGATACTTTTTATAATAAGCTTACAACTATATCACATTGAAACACCAGTTCTCATATGATCACTGAATTTAATCAATGTTGAGCCTGGTCAGTATGTAGATGAGTGACTACTTGGAATCCCAGGTAGTGTAATAAACCAGTATTACATTATCTGATCCAGAGATTGAACTAGCAACCACCAGATGACAGTAATACATGATAATAATTTCTAAGAAATTAATCGATTTTATTTTTAATCCAACATTATTACTTTAAACATAACAGTAACCAATTCCTATATCCACCATGCCACAGTCCTGAAGGGCATTAATGGTGTATTTTTTATTTTGTTGTAATGATAGTTTTAGATTAGTTACTTGTTAAATTCAAATACTGACTTATGTATACTGAAAATAACATGGCTGCAACATGTGAGCAAAAACAGATTTCTGGGACACTTAATGAGGAAAGATGGCTTTAAGAATTTGACACTCATAGGACATTGAAGGCAAGTTTGTGTAAATGGATAGCAGAAGATGGAATGGGAGGGATAGTATAATAGCAAACATTACTAAGAGCTATGAGGGATAGGTTGTTGTGGCAAACCCAGTGCTGGATTTACCTTTAGGCTTAGCAAGCTGAAGCCTAGGGCCTCAAAATCTAGGGGGCTTCCAACCATATTGTATAATATTTTTGACACTGTCATAGAACTTTCTTACACGTGCTCTCATAATGCAATAACTCTAAACTACCTTTCAATAATTTTAAACACCCATCATCATCCTCAGCTTTAATTTATCACTCTACCATTTTTCTCTACTTGTGAGAATATGAGATTTTCAGGTGCCTCACAAGTTGAATAGTCAAGGGCCACCTTCATCTAAATCTAACCCAAAGGGAACCCCGTTTACCAGCTTCCTGAAGGAACATTGACCATAAAAGAATAATTGTTAATGTATATAGTTATTATCCTAAGATCTTTTTGATTATTTTTAGTAGAAACTATAACTGGATACTGAAAAGTTCTTGGTCTGACCACAATCACCTACAGGGAAAATATCTAATGTTTGGTCAGATTTTGGGAAGAACTTTTCCATGCCTTTTGTATAACAAATCTAAATATACTATTAAA